CGTACCGTACATAGGGTTTTAGGTGGCCTTGCTGATGAACAGTAGCTGACTGATGAAGGCCTTAAGACTTTACATAAAGGGTCTGAACATATTATGAATAACAAACCTCTTTTCCCATTTATCTGGGACACTGAAAACCTCGAAGAGTTGTCACTGACCAGGCTACAGTTACTGAGAGACAACTTGGAAGGTATAAATGTAGCCCATCTAAGTGATATGTTCCCAAAATGTGGAAAAAAACTGTTTGGCAGATGTTTTTGAAGCGTTGTTCCAAGGAATTCGTCTCCCCGTCAAAATAAAGAAGCAATTCTTTAGGTCTAAAATAAACCTTCATACACTAAAGTTGTACTTTTAATACCGTTTTACGTTTTGTGTTAATTAGACCATTTGTCGTTCATCAGACTGCTGTACTTTTTCTGTTCGAATACACATTTTCATCAACAGCGAGACATTTTTGGGTTCATTAATTTTGCTCCTGATATTTAGATTCCGGATATCCTCATGTTTGAAGGTTTGTGCAATGATTATCTCATACACTTTTTTCAACGGAACAATGATCTAACGATTTCTTCAGCAGTTTCAGTATTTGTATAAATTTATTTGTAGCCAATTGGTTTTGTTTTGGATTTGATGGAAGAATGCGAGTGCATGACTCAAGAGTATTATTCGTAATGTAGCTGTAACACGAAGTTCTTCGAATTTGGTTTGACTGTGGCAATCGTAGAACTGCGTTTTGGCCACACGACATGCTACGTTTATGCCTTGTCCAACCTAGTTTAGCGGCCAGCCTAATTCTTAACACTGTGCCAAATTGTGGTGAGATAATATACCACTTGCAGCTGTTGAAATTTGTATTTGCTAGCGATGATTTCAAGGGAGTGTAGAAGACCAGGACGTAATATAACCTCACTTTGATGCTTCTCTAGTTCTTGAGATCGGCTGTAGCAGAACCAGAAATATCAGCTGACCTCTTCCTTAGCTGAATTTAACAGTTCATAGCCATGGTAATCCGATCGACGTTAACTGAGTGGGGAGGGACAGTTTCAAGAGGGAACCATTATGACCCCCTTGAGGTGATAGCAATCTTCACCGTTGTACATCAGTGGCAGATTCATCTACTTCCTTTGTATATTTAGTGTTCGTACCTAAGCTCTCCATGAGAACTACACCTAAGTCGCAGTACATGAATCAGTTGCCTTTCAAGGGGTATAATTTCACTTTTAATGATTGAAAGTAACCTATTCACAAGTTTTCAGTCTTACACAGCTCTTATGGTTGACCACAACCTACCTAGGTACCCAGAACTTCCTTCAGGTATCCAGAACCAAATGTTAATAAGATTAGGGAGGGACTAGCTACGGAACTGGCACAAAGACTAAGAGATACACACCATGAAACAACAACAGTGCTAGAACCGCCAGTCTTGAACCTGTCTGGGCCAAGCTACTTCAGAATTGGTGGCCGCTATAGACTTGCTTGCAGAGAAGTCTGTCATCAAAATGGTGAAAAAGAAAAAGCGGCGAAATATGCCAAACTTTCCCATGTGGTGAGGGATTATGTTGTTTGGATAGGCTGCACTGCTGTCCCGTGGTTGACGAGTAAGTTGCTTTGCCTCAGAGCAGCGTCATGCGTGTCTGCTGAATGCAGGAAATATAGCTGCAATCAACTCCGGGATAGTATGGTTCTGTCAATTAGAGCGACTTATGTTAGTTAGTTGATCTTCTAACGAGAATCAGTAGACACAATTTATTAAAGTTCGTACTGTGTCTGTTTGAAGTGACCTCCTATCTTTATGAAATATGGTGGGGCCTAAATCTTTAATAATCTCTTTTCAAATGGCATAGGCCTGCTCTCTGATAGTCTATTTTATTGCAGACATTTTGTCTGGCTTGCAACTTACGCCAATCACTAAGCTTTAATTAGGCAGGCGCCGCCTACCACGCGTTTGGAGTGGCGTGATATGAAGTGGTGCAAATTTGAACTTATAATTCATTTAATAGCAGACCCACTGCCTATGTATGTCTAAGTTGGCTGTTAACAGTGAATCCGACCCCTTTCCCCTCTACACTGCTGTCAGCAGAGGATACCAGATAATGCATGAACCCCAGTTCTCTGCAGTTTCCACCTGTCTCTGTCGCCTTGCCGGATAAGCACTTTACGGTTAGTCATCTCGCTGCAGTTACCTGTGAAGTTAAGGTTACTCGACGAAAAGATTTTAGAACCTATCTGGTTGTTAAGACTGGAATATAGATCAAAAGTCCATATGTGTAATTAACAGACGAGACAGTGTGGATTAAAATCAGATTCCTATACTATGGGGGCCCGTGAGGCAAGCTGGCAGCCGCAGGAATCTTTCGAAACCCCGTTGGTCTTAGAACGATAGTACAAATAAAATCATGTCTATGCGTTTATCAATGCTCCATCCTCAAAGACTCTCAACCCATGGATACTGAAGCTAGTTCCGCCGCCAGCTGACCAGTGCATTCAATTCAGAATACTATATACTGCAACCAACCGAAAAATATCAGAAGACGGCTGGCACATTCAATCCAGACTAAGCTAAATAAACTAAAACATGGGTTAGATGATTTAAAATTAAATAGAGGAAAACAGTGTTAATTTTGAATGTGTCAGTTTATATACACATACACCGATAAATATGGCTATAGAAGCAGTCAAAAACGAACTCATTTCTGACCAAGAATTTGAACTTAAAACAAAAGTACCCATAGAGGACAGAATACTAGGTGTGCAGTTATACCTAACAGTATTTGATTTCCAGGGGAAAATGAACAAACTAAATGAAGGAGTTACCATGGGGCCACCAATAAATCCGATTTCGGTAGATAAATTCATGGATAGGTGGGAAAACTTGGCGACTGAGACCTTCAGCCCCATCCCAAAAATTATGGTGGATGTATGCAGATGATAAATACACCGTACTCAGAACGAAGGACATAAATAGATTTAGAAAACACCAACTCAACAGTGCAGGCAATTCAGTTCACTTATGAGTTGGAAAGTCAGGAAGGGGAGCTTTCAATGTTAGATTGTACCGTAATATGGGAAGAAGATGGGAAGTTAAACAACGGTGCTCACAGGAAATCCATACGTTCAAACATCTGTTTGAATTTCCTATCATCCCATTTTATGTCAGTAAAAATTGGATCGATGAAGCGCTTCAGCAATAAGGCACGAAAACTAAGTAGTTCCAAGGGAATTCTGAGACGGGAAATTGGACATATATAAGAAGCTTTGGGACTATATAATTTCCCTGATGAATTTATCAGGAAGAATGTAGGCGAATGTAGAGGTAAAATTAATGATAATGGTAGTAATGGTATGATAATAATGTCATTAATGACGACACACATGTCAAACGTGTACAGGATAATGACAACCCTAACAATGGGAAATTTAAATCGTCAGTAGCACTTCCATACAAAGAAGAAACCTCGGAAACCCTACGGAGAATCCTTAACAACGCAGGAGTGAAAGTGACGTTCAAACCCAGGAACTCGAATAGAAATGACCCTTGTTAGTTGACGGAAGAGAAGCATAGTGTTTGGGTGATTCACATTGGTTCCATCAGGCCTGAAAATTCTGGACGTTTGGGAACTGTTCAGTGTACTGACTTCCCATCTAGAAAAGCGCAAAGTAGCTAGACGCCGTATTCGAAAGCCTCGGAGTAGAAGTTATTTCTTATATAACAATAACTAGTTATGTGCAGTCTCTGAGAGCGAATTGGGTCTCACTCTAGTGGAAAAGCTAGATACTAGAGTGAACTACACAGGTGATGTGATGAGGGCATATGCGGTTATGGACTTTACGGTAGGCAGTCAGGTGGGCTCATTGCTGGGCTTTTTAAAGGATTGTATAAGACAAGCCTATGACTGGAACATGAAGAGCTTGATATTACTGCTCCCTCGTTACTCAGAGAGGAATCCAACCCTTTGAAATAGGTGCGAAACGGGCGACAAAATGGGTGACGGGCCTCTGGAATTAACTATATGGCATAAGTTTGAAGAATTTTTGTTGTTTCACATTTTTCTACAATTGGCATCGGGGTGGACTTATTACTGCCCAGAACATCACAAAAGACCAAGATCAGCAAACCCAAAGATATTCCACTACTAAGACACCAATGGCTTCCATGTTGCAGCCCACGAAGTGTAGTGTATCAGACAGGAGAGAGTCGAAAGCGCTGACGAGGCCGTATAAGAAGGGATTAGAAAGAAATTCAAATGGCCTACTTCCTTGAAACCCACACATCACACTAATATTGGATATCATCTTTAGTGTTTTTTTACCACTGTTCTTTTTTCCTTGTCTTACTCTTCTGAATACTGAACCTATTCATTCATTTATTTTAGTTTTTAGACTATTAAATTTCACTGTCTGTTTGCACACAATTTAATAATTGTATTTACTATTATTACCACCTCTTCTTTCGACCACACTGGACGAATAGATGGTGAAAGCATCAAATCCGTTCACAGCGACGACACAGTTTTACACACATTCTGCGAACCTCTCTCTTCAAAGTAAACCAATGAAACGGCAGTAAGGTGATGGGATATACTACGCAGAAATTTACCGAAAGTCAAGAGCCTTTGCCTAACATCGTATATCACAAGTCAAATATAAGCAACAACGCACAACACCCTCACAAGGGCCCACAGTGCTATATGAGGGGATTGGTTGGACGAACCAGAAACCCACTGTGAAGAGAAAACTGACATAAAACACTCTAGGTTTATGCTAACTGGTACTTACAAGGATGACCGTCTAAGAATACCGGGTGTTGACGGCTGTTGACACTCCTAACAATCACACATTACTTACTGAAGATCAGGAACCTATACCTCACAATCAAGAGTCGAGCACAAAGAAACTAAATTGGTTTATACCAGCTCGTAAAAATGATATTGGATATTGGATTGGACAGTGAAACGTCTCCGTTTCCATAGTAATCGCATGAAGTCATTTTTGATATATAGATGTTGGAACCCGACCACGAACATGTGGCGAGTATATTTAGTCACTATGAAGTGAATATATTTATTTATTTATTTATTGAGAAATAGGTCACTGAAAATTTGGGTAAAGGATGTCAGGGAGTATCATATAAGCTGAGGAGTTCAGACAGTTCTGAATTCTTTGTTTTGAAGATGGTTAGGTGTAATACTATACCTATATTTCATCGCAGATTGAATGCAGAAGTTTGGAGCACGCTTATCTACTGTTTAACGAGTGTGTTCAACTACAAAATTTCACACATGCTTTTGTATCGAAAATTATGGAAGTTCGAGTAACAATTAATTCTCAAGTAGATTTAGTTTTTTTCATGAGTAATTTTTGAAAGAATTCAGCCATTTACCTTTGTGTCATTCGGAGATATATCGATGCCCCAAGTGTTGAATCGATAGTTCAGGAAAATATTGGGAAAAGCAGAGTGAAATGGGAAGTAAGGACTCACAGCTTTCGGATTTAGTGAATATAGTTAATCTATAAAGTTTTTGGAAGTGTACTGGATGTCATGTCTTCTGTTGCTAGTTTGAAATATGCTTCTCTGTAACTTGTGTCTTACCACTATTCCTCTCAAGTTATTTGCATCCTAGAAATATTTTTGTTGATGAAACAACATTCTGCATAACCGATGTCTGGGGTCCGAACCTGATGAAATATATTCGCGGAACGGATGTTTTTGTACAGTGTACGTTCAATTCCTGAATGGTTTTACTTATCATAACCAGTGATCTAATTCTTTAAAACAATTTATGTGAAAATTATAGGGCAGATTCTACTTTAATAATAAGCATTATTTGTAGGCCATATTTTGTCATATGTTTATGAAGGTAAAAACACATGAATATAAGTAACTCGTCCCACCAATTATTCATGCGCTGGTCACAATTCTTGTAGAGGGAAAATTAGTTTTCAATTAAAATTTTACGATAGGTTTTAGAATAATGATCAAGAGTAATTTCGGTTAGCTAAACAGTTAATACTCTTTGAGGTAACAGTTAACTGTGACCAATAAATAATTTAACAGCGCCTACTATGTCAATTCCATTCGTTTATTTTCCCTCTGAAATGTCAGTTTGAACACTAATTGATCTAAAAAACGTAATTACAGTTCAACACACATGAGGAGTAGGACGTGCAGCTATTTTCTTATAACTATTTAAATAACTACAACTAACAGTGCACAACTACAGCGAACTGGAACTTTTGTTACCACGAAACAGAATCATAAGCCTTCATATTTAACAGAAATCCTTAAATCAGTAGTAATACTTTGGTGCTTTGATGAATTTTTTGATTTTGGAGCTGCTTTAAACATGCTTCTTCGAAAAATCTTTGTCAGTGGAATCCTGTAATGGAGTCTGAGCTTAAGGTCGCTTTTCCCAATCAGTCTCTGTATCTCATTTTTCCGTCCACTTCCTTTAAAACAGCATGTAATTCTTGGTGACATTGCGCTACTTCGCAAGTTTAGAGATGACGATCAATGTTTTTAGGACCCAGAGTTCTAATAGTGACATGCTAGACACAAGGCAGGCCAACATTCAGGATTTTTGTTTGAAAAGTGAAAGATAACTTTCATGGAATAATCCTTTCAGGATATCCACGTACTTTGGTTTTGGCATAAAGGCATTATTTTATTCCTTATGCTTGGGGGTGGGAGAATAACCCCTGTATTGAAGACTGGAAAATCCGCTGTCAGCAGTCTCATCAACAACTTTGCTGATGTTGTGAAAAGATTGTAATCATTAGTTCGTCCCATAACTTCTCGAGCGTGTTCGAAACGTTTTCAGTAAATAATGCTGTTTAGCTGTGTCTCATATCCAATAAAAAAACTAATATGGAACTACATGCTATCACAGTACCCAAGCTTTACTCATGTATTCCGTCGTTAATTCAGTGTAAAGTTCAAATATAGGCTTTATTTAATTGAAATTTCATACATTTATTTCTCTTTTTGAATTAAACAAGAATAACAGTTTGTGCAGAATTAAATCGTACCGTCATTGACATACTTAAACAGAGAGTTCAAGTTTAAGCAAAACATTATGTATTCATACAGTGGCAATAATAATCACTTTATTTTAAACAATAATAATCATACAGAATGGAATTTTCAGATATTGTTTCTGTGTCTAACTTTTGTTTACTTCATACATACATTCCTGTTTATTTGATATCCTAGTCTGGGCGTTTTCCTCAAGATACTGGGAGGGTGCTCACAAGAAAATATCCCTTATCATGTAATCTGATATACTGTAGAAATACTCTTACTGTTTAAACCCACTGCTTTCAGGAATTAGATGTGGATACTTATAGAGAAAGAACCAAGACTATATAGAGACGTAGCACTTATGTTTACTTTGTCTAATGCATAATGATGCAAGTTAGAAGTATAGTTCTTTGAAAAACTTCCACGTTTGTCATCTCAAAATGTAAGTTTTCTACTAGTCTGTTCAGGTATTTTAAGATGTGCATGTCTTGCCCTGTTAGTATGGCAGGAGCAAGAATGAAGGTATAGTTAATTCAGTGTGATCTGTGGACTTGAATGCACGATCAAAACATTGCAGAGGGGAGTTGTCTTAATTAAAACTTAAGACCTATTTCTTGCCAGTAAAATGACCGTTACGAATGTGTTGTATTTCAATCCTTTTCAAACGTAATTAAACAGATTATACTTTAATGTGCCACCTGACACTGAATACAAACAAGTAATTGGTTTTTCATAATAAGTGTTTACTTTTCATCTTGGCGACCATTAAAGTTGTCATCGTTTACGAGTTGAAGGAAGCAAGCTGATTAAGCTTTGCATTATTAATAAATATGTAATGTAAAGGAAAATTGAATGCAATATTGTACTGCATTCTGAGAATCCTACAATATATCAGATGTAATGTTTAAAATGAAGTCATTACTAGTGTATGAAATCATGATATCTTAAAAGTTAAACTCAGTTCTCTGAAATATTGTGAGCTGTTATAAGTTTCATGAAGAGAACATATAAAACAGATAACGTAGAAGAACACAAGGCTAATAAAGTCAGTTCTGTGCTCACAATTTCTTAATGCCTATGCATTCTCTTCAGCATTTAGTATGTGAATTAACTTTTCAAATTATTATTATTTTTGTTCCCTTGGGTTCCTAGTAGAACATAGGGCTTCAACTACACGTCTCCACTTGCTTCTGTCTTCTGCTGTACTTTTCACCTGCATCCATGTTAGTCCATACTGTTTCAACTCCTCTCCACACGATCTCCTCCATGTCACCCTTGGACGTCCCACTCGCCGCTTCCCTTTCGGGTTCCACTCGAGCTATGGCCTGACGTGCGATGTCACCCGGCGGCCTCCTCAGCGAGTGTCCAATCCATCTCCACTTTCTCCTGCATATTTGTTAGGCGATTGGTTCTTGTTTTGTTTGTTCCCATAGTTTCATCTTGGTGATTCTTTCCGGCCATCTGATCTTCAGTATAGAGCGAAGACAGTTGTTGATAAGGGTCTGCAACAGCTGTTGGAAATATTCTTTGTGACCCGCCAAGTTTCTGATTCGTGTAGAACTACTGACTTGACGTTTGTATTGAAAATCCGAATTTTGTTGTTGATGCAGGCTGAGTGACGAAGATTTCCAGATTGGTTTCAGGTTGATGAACGTGTTTCTCGCCTTCTCGATCCTCGATTTGACATCCACGTCCGTTCCTCCTGTAGTTGAGACAATGCTCCCTAGATAAGTGAATGAAGTAACCTCTTTCAAATCCCTCCCGTTGATGGTGATTGGCGCTGGATGTTGCTGCTGCTGTTGTTGTTGTTGGTTGGTTATTTTCATAACCTCCGTCTTGTCCATGTTCACCTGGAGTCCTGTCTTTGCCGCTTTTCAAATTAATCACCCTGAAATTAGGAAGGGTTTGCTTAGCAGTGATAATGATCCCACAATCCAAATTGTGACGAAAGCATAGTGTGGATATTGCAATGGCTGAAATATCGAACTCATTTTAGTCACTAATACATTATTCCAATCTCTTAAGAGATCATATATGCTGTACAACACTGCAAACCATTATCATCTACTGAATCAGAGAGTTAGAAATTAAAAACCAGTCCATTAGTTAAAATGCAGTTCCAAATAGCCTATCCTGGTTAGTTTTAATGGCTCCATATAAATCTGATTCGAAAGATGACTTGGCTGTTTCGAAAAGCTTGTCATTTACTCTGTAGTGAGTCTCGCATCCCAGGGAAAAGTCACCTATGCGCATATACCCAGAAATGATGTGAGTAATTTGAGTGGCATTTTTATCAAAAATATATGTGACGGTTAGTTTAACAGGCTATAGTAAGGCCACTATAGTAAGACCTGTGGTAAGGTTCTCTATAGACAGCTGGCAGAATTTCATCAAGACTATAAACAGGCTGTATGTGTCAAACAAGTTAAATCATTTCAAAAATAACACCAAAAGAAACTGGAAGAAAGTTGAAACAAATATGCAGCAAGATAGAAAATATGGATATAGTTAAATGAATTCAAAATTGGAAGATGGTAGTATGCAATTTATTCTGCAACCTTGTGGTTTTTAGGGGTTGGGCTTTAAAATCTTACTAATCAATCTTGAGAACCTTCACTTTTTTACGACTAAAAGACATAATGCTGTGGCCAAACTATCTTTGTTATTTCCTGACATCGCATATCAAGTAAATCGGCGGCTCGAAGGGTACCACATGAAGTTGAGTGTTAAATGCTTCAGCATAAGACTGGAAATCTAAGCTTTATGAACTGAGAATATATGACAGTTTATACCTCTGTAGAATTTTTTATGAATCAGTAATTTCGATCTCTATCAGCACTTAAGTAGGTTTGATGAATACCATCTTCAGTGACTGAAATTACCCTCAGAATCTGACCGTTAGATGAGTATTCATGTCCTGATTTTTCATTAAAATACTAATAGCTTTGGCACGCTGTGATTAAGAGAAATTTTTCTGAGATTTCTGAAATAATAACATATCAGTTAGTTATGTTGGTGAATCTGTCTTTAAGTTAACTTCCTTTACCAACATTCATAAGTTTTATATCAAGTATCCAATTGTGCAAATTTTCAGATTAAACTCGAATTACTTTACTTGTGATGAATAATAAATTGAAATCTTGAAGGTAATGCCTTAGGCTTGACGTTTGGTTGCTAGCTACCAGAAGGAGTTATAATAACCTTTCCGAGCCTTTCGGAAAATATTTTCCAATAGGTTCTTGAATTAGTGACTCAGACAATTCATACTTACTGTCTTAGTTGTGACAGAATAGTCTTATAGGATCAACAGTCGCTTTTATATGACGACTGATAGCAAGTCTGTATTCACTAACCGGTAGGTGAGGGCAACTTTCTACAGTTAGACGATAATTTCTTTCAGCTCCGAACAGTTAAATGACTATACCCTTTTGAAAGACATCACACATTAACTAGAAAATGAAGAAAAGTATCGAAAATTAGGAAATACAAACAAATACTATAGAAAAAAGAATAAATATATATCTAAAGTATTTTATTCGTATCAAAATTAATCTTCCAAAAGGAAATTTATAGGCAAGTAATGTCTTGTGTTATTATGTAATATAGTCACAAGTATGTGTAGAACTCTGACTGTTTGTTGTTTTATGTAGTAAATGGGTTTCTTTTACTTCTCTTCTTGTTTTCCTCTTGTAGCCTTTGAACAAATTATAAACCCTGACCTCTTAAGTGAAATACCTATAGAATGTCCACAAGATGAATTTTCTCGAAGACGCCTGCGTAAGTGAAATACATTTTCGTGCTTATTATTTCCATGATTTTGTACTTTCTGTTGATGGAATCATTAAACGATTTGAGCATGTTAACTGATGGTGATGCAAATACGCATAGAGAGATTATCATATCAGTAATGTTACTAATGATATTGAGTAAGACTTTAGCCGCCTCCTGTTCTTGTATACTAATTGGATTAATTTGCATCTTGTTTGGCCGAAACTAATCAATTAATATTTTGTATTAAATTGTAATTACATTTTGAATACATTCACTTCATTCACTTCCGTTTGTTTTCTTTTTGTGTCTGTAGATATTTAAAATCTAATTATTTAGTAACTTTGTCTCTTCCCTTACCTCTTAACGATTTACTGATTTTCCGTCACCAAATCATGGAAATTTCAGTAAATTTTATACACTGGTATTTTTAAACCCACTTCTACACTTTCTAATTTGTAATTGTACTTATTTTTTTCCTTTGTGGAAAATGAGCTGCTTAAACATTTATATTCCAAGGTAACTTTGACGAAGTGGAGGATATTACTGTCTTTAAATGTGGGTTGACACCTAACTGTTTGTGAGACAACCCTGAATGGAATTTGAAAGTACAAGGGCTTAGGATGCAAGTAGTGATCAAAACATGAAATGAAAAATTAGACTGCGGTTATTTGACGTGGAAATGATCGGAGGGAATTTCAATAAAATGACCCTGGGAAAAGGACTGAAGGTAAACGACATTTTCGAGGGCTATTCAAATACATCAGAATAAATGTATTCAAATACTAGTTCAAGCATAATCTTGTTTTTTTATTGACTTAGCAACATGTCTTACACCGCCAGGGTCGGAGAAGACTACGTTTAGCATTTGAGCGTTGTGATGAAAGTTTAAAAAGGAATAACAACAGAATTGTTGTGAATACTAAGCCATGTTAAACTCATATAGATGATGAATCCTTCGTTAGTTAATGTTCGATAAGCAATTAAGTGCTGTTATTCGTGATCTAATGTAATAACGTTCTGAACCATAATAAAATTCTGAAAATCCCATAAAATTTTCATACTCCTGTTAAGCTATATTTTGTCCAAACTTTTTCATAATTAGCTTTCTTATTAGAAAAAAATCAAAGGCTGTTATCAGATGCTATAGATTTCATGAAAATATTGACAACAGATGAAATATTCTTTAGGGTTAGGTACTTGGTATATGTGACACTAATTCTATAATCTAGAGAAACTTTAAACTCATTCTACACATAAGAAGAAAGTCAGTTAAAAGCATACTATCAACTAACTTATTCTTTATCACACACACAGATAGTATTTTAAAGTTTGTGCAAATATTTTTGACTTGAATTTTAAAGCTTCCAGTAGTTTTTAAGTTTTGGTTTCGTTTTGTCACAACTGTTGACTTCTATCCAGACGTCATCATCAGCATTGATTTAATCAAAAAATTTGAAGATAAAGTTATGTTCAAGTTAAGTTGTACTTGAGTTCGTTTATATTTCTCACTCTCGATCTGTGATTATTTATTGTTATGATGTTTATTATCAAATACTAATAAACTTATGCACTTAATTTGTGACAGATATGAAAAGTTAACTAACATTATGGCTTAATTTGTTGATAACAAAATGTGTGTTGTGTCAACTTGTCGATTTACTCTACATATTAAGCTTTTCTATTATCACTGTTTAGCTAGATATATTCAGTGGTGTGCTCCTGAAGTTAGCAGATTTGAATCCACTGGCAGTATTGACGTATGGGGTTTAGGTTGTATCCTGACAATCTTGATATACGTCAAATATTTGTTGAAAGGTGAACATATTTTGGCAGTTAATCTACTTAAGACAAAAGAAGATGCATTTAGTCAAAAGTTATCTTCAAAGGAAATAGTAAGTGTTTCAGATAAAATGAGATAAAGGTAGCATAAAAAGGTAGATTATGATTTATTTTCAAATTTTTAAAATACTAAATTGCATTTTGTCCTACTGTAGGAACCTCTTACCTCATATATCTTTTGATACAAATATTTAAGTGATTCTACAATAAACTACTCTCCAAAAATAAGAGATGACAGTTTGTTATTAAGTGACAGTGTTAAAATTGCGAAGGAGCACGAATAAGATAATGGAGAAACACTGAATTACTGCATTTATAATGTGTCGTTTATAGTTATTAATTTGTACACGCGTACATATTTATCTCTCATAGATTAAAATGAAAATTACTTTACTAAAAAATTTTCTCATACGTATTAGACATCTTTTGACTCAATAAAGGAAGGTGGTTGTTAAGGACCAATCAAATCCCTGCGAACCAACACTTGAATATCATTATGATGCTCACTAGCGACTGGCCCTATTCAGGTAGGTAGTTACCTCAGCTCTAGTGGGAAGTCGTGACCAGTGGGGTACAGCCGGTAGGGTGTGAGGACAAATACTCGCCAATGACTATGGCTAGTGATCGCTTTATATCTTGAATTGGTAGAAGCTGGAATGCATGGGCCACTGGATCGGGTCTCTACGAGCTCTCCTTGCAACCGGAAAGTCCTGGGTTCTAATTGTAGCGGGCGCGTGCTGATGAAGAGTCCAACATTAGGACAAAACAGCCATCCAGTACTCCAAGGTTATCCAATGGTTCTCTAACCGATGTCAGCTCATGATGAAATCCTGAAGCCAATCAAAATCCTGCAAACTAACACTTGAATCTCAAAACATTTTACAATTTGAGCTGGCCTGTTTTATATTGCTTAATACAGAATGAATGTGATATGTAATAAATTTTGATTCTTACCAGTCTGTATACACATGCGTGCATTCTACAATAGGTGCAAATACAACCCAGTCTAGCTAATATCTATAGCCTTTTAACTTAGTAAACTGAAGCATTCGTAACCTTGAATCTTCCTTTCACTTTTTTCTTACAACCGGTTTCCTTGAATGGTATCAATAAGGAAAGAACTAACATATTTAGAGAATAATACAAGCTCATTTTGTTTCGTGGATTTTTCTCAGATTCATAGACATTTTTCCAAGTTTACAGTAAAAAAAATTACGAAACTTTAAAAAGGAATATATCCTTCAACAAATTAATTTTTCTCAAGAAATCTTATCCTTGCACAGTTTGCATCTTCTGTGAATGTGCACAATATATTTGATAATTTCGCAAAATGTCAAATTAATAATAATCACAACACCAAGAAGTTGCTTAAAATACGTGGAAATTATTAAGGTTGTCACACAAATCACGAAGAGGTGATTGATCTTGAAAAATAAGTTGTAGAATGATGGTAAACCAAAAGTAAGAAGAAATTTTAAGAGGAGACATTTCGAGAAATATAAAGAATAATTTTTATCCGGAAAGTGAACAAAGTGAAATTAAAGATAGTGTGAAATAGTGTTAACTAAAACTGTAGAAGTAGAGAAGATTAAACAGCTTTCTCTATTATGCAAGCATCCATTTCTGCATATAGGTAGCTGAAACTTTACAAACAACTAGAATGATGCATATTACCATTGAAAGACTGGGTTACACTTCATTAATTATATTTGAAAAGATAATTGGTGAAATAGTTTGGATGACATTAGTGAGTTATATATTCGTGAATTCATTGTTATTATTCTTCAACCAAACGGAGCAGCATACCTGAACCCTTTTAAATTAGACTTCTATTAAGCGACCAATGCTAAGAGTTTACGCAGGGAAGCCCTACTAATCGAATATGGAATTCTGATAAAACATATTTCTAGAGGTGTGAATGCTTCCCACTGGGATTTAAACCTTGCATCTTCATATTTAGTCTGTACTGGATGCTCACTTTCAGTCTGAATTCTTCTTCAGGATTAAATATATGTAGTAAATCAATAACCATAAATATAATTTGTAGTGGGAGTAGTGTTCAACAAAAGTTTATTAGCCGTTTGGAGGAAAGCAACAGCAACAAAATGAAGCAACTGCCACGGGATCATCCATCCCAAAGATGAAAACTGACACATTCATGGACGTCGGAAAATAAATTGAGCTAAACCATTCACATCGTCATCGGAGTTAGTGGAAATATGTGGATGAGACAATAGTCATACTAAATAAAAATCTTCACACATAAACAGTCATATAGACTCGACAGAGTTCATTGTAAGAATAGGGGATGAAGTTCAGAAACTGAATATTTAAGTTCGTGGAAACAGAGCTATAGTATGTGATAGTTTAAAGAGAGCAGTTTATCTAGAATTGGTGCGCTCAGCAAGGTTTCTCCACTAAAACCCAACCAATCCATATGCTATAAATAGACAGTTGATAGAGGGTCTGGCAAACAGAATACGTAGGCTAACAATATCCACAGACGCCTAAGGAAGCGGATTAAACATTTGTATTGGAAATTTTATTAAAAAATCGCTGCCTGAAAGAACTCATAAGGAACAGTTTAAAGAAAAGTTGGGGAGAAAAAAGGAACTGACGATAATTAGGAAGATAACAGTGAAAAGGCTGTAGTATTACCATACAAGAAAGAAAGAAACCATCAGCAAGACAGGTGTTCAAACCATATTTAAACTAGTAAGTATGATTGAAAACGAATGCAATCAGTTAAAAGGTCCAATAAAAAGTGAACACAGACATTGTGGTGTGCAAAATATCTTCCGCTGATTACTTGGTTAACTATGTAGGTGAAACGTCAAGATCACTCCAAATGAGATTGAATGAATATAAACAATTAACGAAAAGTCAGCCAACAGAAATATAAAAATTTAAAAGAAATTTATCATTAGTTACTCATGCTTGGGTTGAGAAACCTGATATTGATCTAAACAACCTTGGTATTTCGAAGTCCAGTATGATTAAATGGAAGAAAAGACAGGATTCATATTCATGCATCTTACACCTAACACTCTCAGTGAAGGTTACTCAGCGCAAATGTCAACATCATGAAACATAGATCTGGAGATAAAAAGAGACTGACTGTTATCTGTAAATATATGAATAAAAATCTCATTTACAGTCGTGACCTTAAACAGTAATTCTACTAAAAATATTATCAGAGTTAAAACTTATTATTGTGTGTAAGCACCCACAACAAAAACGTTTGTAATAACAAAATAAATGAGTCAGCATTAATAAATAATATTGAGGGCAAAAGCTAAATATGATTCAATAGATGTTATGACATAATCTAATGTAAAGAGTTTTTGGTCGGCCATGAACAGGTTAGATCACAAAGGAAAACCAGTGGCGAATGAAATCCAGTGGACCAGTCCTACTCTGATTTTCCAACAGGCCCAAAATATACAAACCAAATATCCCTTACGACCAATTGTATCACTGCCAAGAGCCCCAACATATAATTTGTCCAAAGAAAAATGAAACACCTGACAGATTCCTACTACCACTCCATCAAATCTGCTATCCAGTTTCTAGAGAAAATCAGAGGCATTCAAATATATGACCAAGAAATAATGGTATTATTCGATGTCACAGAATTATATACCTCAATTGGACAGAAACTATCAAAAGAGACCACGTAGCAATTACCCAGCAACGACGAACACCCACAACAATCAGAAATGAAACACACAAGGTGAATGGAATGCATAAACCTATGCCTAACGGCGTACTTCGAATTAAACGGCCAAATATATGAACAAGTTAAAGGAACATACATGGGATCGCCCATATCAGGTTTGATTGCAGAAGCAGTGATGCAGAGACTCGAAAACATAATCCTACCACCGGTTGAACCCAAAATTCGGATACGTTACGTAGATGACACATTCGTAATAATCAAAAGAAGCCAGTTATCCAAAACTCACAACTTAATAAACAACGTCTTCAACGACATCAAATTCACAAGAGAAGAGGAATCCGAGAACCAAATCCCATTTTTGGACATCTTAGTCAAGCGAACAACCACAGGGGAATTAGAAACTCAAGTTTATGGAAAATCAACTCACACAGACCAAATACTTAATTACAAAAGCAACAGTCCAATAACATACAAAAGGAGCTGTATACAAACACTATTCAAGAGGGCCAGGAGTCATTACAACACTTCCATCTTAAGGAAAATTGAAGAAAGATATCTCATGGACATCTTACAAAAGAATGGATAACCACGGAACTCCATCAAAAGACATCTACTCCAAAGGCAATCTACCAGATCAAAGGACCTCAAGGAAAGCACAAGGAAAACCACTTTACCATATATAAAGGACATCTCAGAAATCGCAGCAAGACTATTCAAACCTTTAGGAATTCGCGTAGCACACAAACCAACAAAATCACTTCAGTCAGCTCTGTATCAACCAAAAGACTGAACGGCGAAAGAAGATAAAACTAACATTATCTACAAAATAAATTGTAACAACTGCGAAAAACACTATATTGGGCAAAGCAGACCACCCATTCGTCTTCGTGTCCATGAACATAAATTAGCCGTCAAAAGACATGACATCCACTCCCTCATATCGCCTCACTGCATACAGACAACTACGGGCATCAATTTGACTGGGACAACGTTGCAATATTAGACAGAGGAAACACCAAGAATGCTAGAGAATTTTTAGAAGCCTGGTATTCCAGTGAATCGTCAGTCAAGAGACACATCGACAACGAGACAAAAATTTACCAAAGGATAAGAAGGAAATCTCACACACTAAGGGTTGAAGTTCAAGTCAAAGAAACAATCAGTACCAATAGAAGTAGCCTAGAGGGTGTGAAAACACACAAAAACAACCAATCACGTCCAAGGTCACCAGGGGAGATGACTAATAAACTCATGGAGAAATCTAAAAGCTCACTTCAACAGATTGATGTATGCGCTGAAGATGTTGCCAAGTAGGGTAATTAAAGCTCCACAAATAAACCATCCAGCTGAAAGAACACAGCTACATAATAATCATCCACCTGAGCCAGAAATCCTCACCATATCTAAATGTAAAAAGTACATCCTGGTAAAGGCTTTTACTAATAGTCAAATCATTGGTAAGTAAGATAAAATTGAGTTAATTTGGGAATTACATTTTCTTCCACGTTGTATACAAGGTACACTGATGAGGACAAAATGGTTCACATTACCAAAGACCTGCACATGAGTATACTTTGAAATTTGTCCCTTTGTCGATCATTTCCGGTAAATATGTCACTAAACCAAACGTTTATGAGAAGTTGACTGAAAGGTTTTTAGTACACTTATTATGAGTTAAATACTGATAGAAAAAAAATGATAAAAATTATTGTAGTTTATAATTTACAAACAGTCATAATCATGCTTATTTGTTTAATATATACCAACTAACACTAAATATGCCTACTGCCTACGGCGACAGTTGATGATAAATTACCAGGTAAAAAAAAGTATTTGGATTTTTACAAAACATGTATAGTTTCCCGTATTCCTACTATTGACAGAGCGATTAAATGTACAAATATTTTTCTAGTGATAATATTAATAATTACTACTATTACGTTTCTGATACTCACTTAGCCAACTGATTCACTATGACGTTAATTTGATTAACATTTTGAGCTCCTCCTATAGATATTTTAAAAAATGGTACTTATTGATTTCAGATCAAATGAAAACCAATTAGTATTTATTTAATAGACAGTTCATCTATAAAAAAAGCAAACAAAATAAAATGGACAGTAAAAATGATATAGAGATACATAAAGTTGTTTTAAACAAAACAGGAACTTCTACAGTTTGCGTTGTTTTGTCTGTCTAATAATCGGATATATACACATATATGTTAACAAAGTCATTACTCAATTAATAGTGATTATGACTAAATACTCTGATACTGTATTACTGAATTCTAATTGGTGTACAGATTAAAAGAGCGTTTTAATATCATTCATGCATTATTTCTGGTAAGGCGGTGGTGAATCTTTTTAATCAGTGTACTAACATCTGATAAAAAAGCCACTATTATTTTAAAATTAACCGCATAAGAAAAAGGATCTATGAAATTTTGGCATTAGATGGTTGAAGGCAATCGGAAAGAAGCCTTCCACCTAGGTTTCGTGCTAGTTGGCACTCACCAGTCAGCAAGGCGTATCTGCAACCTTGAAGGAACTCATGTCCTTTCTGAGATTCGAACCCGTATCACACAGTGTTGCAGTCAGAGACGTTACCACTGAGCTATTCAGGCTCACTATCGACCTCCTGTGGGACTGTATTGGATATTTTTGATTAGAAACTAGTCAGTAACTAGTGTAGCATGTGTCTAGTCCGATCTTTGGGTGACTCGGGCTGGAATCTCAGGGGGGACATGGGTTCCTTCAAGATTACAGATACGCCTTAGTGATGAGTGCCAACTAGCACGAAACCTAGATCCAAGGCTTCCTCCCGATTGCCTCCAACCATCTAATACCAATAATTTACAGTGCACTTTGATGGTGAGCCACCTAGTGGCACGGTGGCCACATTGCAAACTTGACTGACAGAGTTTAATCTGCACCAAAGATAGGACTAGACGCCCACACACATATTACACTAGTTACTGACTAGTGTCCAATCAAAAAGATCCATTAAAACAACCAACTAAGTGGTGTTACAGTAAAACAGTATGCATTTAATTTGTTGAACTTTAAATACACACTTCTTAAGATTATAGACAACGGTTTTGAGGCGTAGAATTACTGGAGGTGATTAAAAAATTACCAGTGTTGAAGGAGCTGTAAGACATTACAATAATGCTAAAGACAATCAAGATGAATTTTGACTGAGAATTAAAGTATTATTCAAATTGATAATATGTTGGTTTGTTCTGAAATATTCATGAAAAATACCCATTAAGACATGAATATAAGAACAAACAGATCAGCGAAGAGTATTTTTTCGGCAAATTCGTTCACTTAGCTGCACAGTCGCAATTATATATAATTATTTGTGTGTGTCTGTGTGTAAATTAAGGTTTGTCAGACAGGAATAAAAAACTAATTAGGGTTATTGTTTTTAAAAATTTTTTAATTTCATTTATTCCTTTACGTTTTCAGTGGAACATAGGGCTTCAAGCTAGAGGCTTGAAGTTTCGGTAGCAGTGGTGTTTATTTTTACGGGATGTGGTCGCTAACCTCATTCCCAACCATCCCTCTTTACCAGTCTTATTACCGGCTTAGCGAGTTAAAGGAGTGCGTCGGCTGGGGATCGAACCACAGATCACATATGTGGTTGGCGAGCATTCTACCGCTGTGCCACCAACGCACAGGGTTAGGGTTATTGCTTACGTCATTGGAATATTTCAAAAAATGTGATGAATAATCAAATTGTAACCGGAGGGGCTGAAGATCGGTAACTATTGACAAGAACTACGTAATGTGAAGAATAGGATGTTGATGAAAGAACTTGGAGACAAATGTCCTACAAAAATTATGTAATAGGTAGAAAGAGTAAATAAAAGCGTTAGTTAAGAAAAGGATTTTATTCAAATGTCATGAAAAATTCACAAATAGTAGTGGTAACAAAGTAGTCGAACTTAGAATTATGCCCAGGGTAAAAGGAGAGGATCAAGAAGTTTCTTCTGTGTACATAAATCAGGGTTTTCCATCCGGATCTCTAAGGCCTCGGCAATGCAAGTTATGCGGAAGCTTATCATTTTCGGGAGGCTTCTTTTGACGTTGTAAATGACTTTGAATGAATTATCCTTACATACTGAGTGACCAGGGATGTTCTGAAACAATACTGTTTTTTCAACTATCTAATGTTCTAATTAAAAAATATTTTAAAAAGAATGAACTAAAGGTTTTGTTGTTAAAGTTTTGTAAGTGGGTATTATTGTTGTGATAAAAATTGTTTTTTTCTTTTATTTGTTAGGAGACACATAAAGAACTACTCACTTTAATTTCCAAAATGATGAAAATCAATCCGAAAGAGCGAATTACTCTTAGGTAAGTTTGTCATATCTGTGGATTTGTCGTATGATAGAGATAAAACAACCCGTCTCCTGAGAAAAGTGTATTGTACTCACTTTACTGTATCAATACATTTGCAATGAAAGCTTATACACAACGACAAACTTTTTGATTTTGTTAGCGTTTGGAGAAAAGTCACTGTTTATGGTGACTGTACCGATTGAAATTGTGCTCACACATTTAACAATGGATATAACATGCATAAACTTTCTTTCTTGTTAGTCAACTTATTTGCCAAACACAGAATTCCATTTGAATGGGAATTATTTTGTCATCTTACGTGCTTGTATTCAGAGTGAAAAGGTAGAAACATTGATTCTGTTATTGGTGCTTTTGCGTTTGTTCACACTGAACCATATTGTTGAACTGTTATCAAACCGATAGTATGTTTCCCATCTCTAACACGAAACACATTTTAATAAATTTTGTATTTCTGTCTCTATGTAGACTGACTCTTAATATAAACTGTTGACAGCCCTTTATAATTTACTACGGTTAACACCAGACGCTTAGGAAACAATATTATTAGAATCAGTTGTATGCCTAAAATGATATAAAGGTGCCAGAATTAATGAGGAGAACCTATTACTTAGTTTTTATACTGTTAGCTTATTCACAGAAAACCAACAAGAATAATCAAAGAATTGAAAATTTCGCTAGACAGAGGTGATGACCTAAGAAATACACAGTTTTACATTGAAGACGTATTAAAACTCATAGAACTCCATTTAACACGAAAAAATTTCTCCCATTCATCACTACAATAGATGAATAGCTAAGTGGACACTTCTTCCATCGGTGCTATTAGTAATATTTATGTAGTTTTGCGAATAATTTGTTCGGTAACTATTCCTGTCCTCGCTTAAGATTGAAGTAGACTGATGATAGATACACCTGTAATGATCAATAAGAAGGATATAAAGTGACTCAATGCATTTTTAAATAGTCAAGTGGATTTATTAGGGAAAAATAGAATGTATTATGGAGTTGTGCGTCGGTGGCATAGTGGTCAGGACACTCGCCAACCATGCGCATGGTCTGGGGTTCGATCCCCGGCCGACACACTCCTTTACCTTGCTAAGCCAGAAATAATGCTGATGAAGAGGAAAGGTTGGGCATGAGGCTAGCAACCCTATCCTGTAAAATAAGCACTGCTCCAGAAACTTCAAGCCACTAGCTTGAAGCCCTATGTTTCAATGGGGAACATGAAAGAAATAAAAAGAAGGAGTTGTTAATGTTGGACTATAAAATTTAAAATACTAATAGGTGTCATCCTAAAGACTATAATGTATAAGAAATAACGCTGTCAAGAAAATTTCCTAATTCCTTGGGAATTCATTAAATTATAGTTAATACAAGGTTTTAAAAACATATTCGACTTAGAGAACCAAATCAATTTAAATCATTCAAGTTGTGACTGGTTACTTGGGCAAATTGATAATATAAAGAATAAAAAACAAAATTTGTAAATTAGACAGCTTGTGATGAAATCTCATTATGATTTCCTTTGAAAATGTAAGATATTCGGACCACAGTATATTGACCTATTTGACGCTATTAATGATACCAAGAAAAGTGAAATGGAGAACGTGGTTCATAGAGTCCAATGATTTGAAGATTATAATTTTCAATACCAAAAGGCCAAACATTTATTTCAAATAGAATGTTGATTGACAAAGTCACATGTAATAATTAGTCATTTCTTCATACCTTACCGATGCACAGTCGAATAAGAATTATACAGTTGTTGCCAGGATCAGTTCTGTTGAATTCTGCAGGGGACAGTAGTCTTCATGCCAGTCAATATACTACTTTTTAATCGGCTACGTACCTGAAAAATGGAATCTACGCTGTGCTTCATTATTCACCATACTAAGAGTAGACTGAGAGCCGAAAAATTCTTTTTGTTGTTAATTTTGTTTTAAGAGCTACGCAATCTAATTTTTATATAGGTCAGCACTGGAAAAAAGAAAAAACTTGCTTACACAAATCGGTCTCATCACAGTAACGATTATAGTTTTCTCGTCTAACAATCACGAAGTCTATATTCACCATCTTTTGTGGACTGATTCCTGTTAATATCTCACATAAAAAGTAGTTTAAGTTACAGTTCGACAATAAGTGAGAAAGTTAGAGTGCGTTCATACAAGCTACTGCATTGTCCCTCCAAATGTATATTTCAGAGAAATAGCTTATGTTTTCTCGAAAAATGCATAGATCAATGTAAGTGTGTTAAAAAATTCCGAAAATTATTACTGTGTTGGCATTTAAATCTAAGCTATGTAACTAGTAAGAGTCATACTATGAAGTATGTGACAACTGATTAACAAATGAACAGAAGACGTTCAGCAGAAGTGCATCAGTTCAAGCTGTCAGATTTCCAGATGGCATATTGAAAGCAAAGAATTATAAACAAAATCATACTATAAAAAGTAAACAGCAGTGTGAGAATAAATACTAATATAAGGATTGATGAAAATGTTTAAGATTTAAGATAAGATAAACAGTAAATCCGTCTGCACTATTGTTGACAGCTTTTAGCCCTTTATATCGATTATCACTTGCAAAGTAGAAAAATTAGAAATTTTAACAATGACAATATGCTTTTATAATGTAAATTCAAGTATCAAGAGGTATTAGAAGTAGTAGTGAAGATTTAAAATTAGGAATCTTTTAAAACGGATCGAAGGACCTTGTAAAGTATATATTTAACTTAAATCCTATTAATATATGTGTAAAACTTGGTGTGTAGTAAGTAATTCCATATTAGTTTGTTTATTAGGTATATCACACAGTGAAATAGTATTATTTACTGGATGACGTTTCGAACAAAATTTATTGTTCATAATCATATCAATTGCGATCACACGACTTTGACACTTGAGTTTTAAAGCTTTCTTTGTTTTCTCCTATTTGTCGTAAGGGGCGTAGAATTTTCCAGATATCTGGGACAGGTGATGAATCATTCCTATTACATGTATTTGCAGTTGATTCGATAAACAAAGCTTCTGTTATCAATCTCTACCTATACCCTGTGACATAAGATTTTAAAACTGTCATCCTATCCCATCCTATTGTATGGTTGTGTGCGACTGCATGTAGTGCTATAGCTGAACTATTCTCTAGATTTCTTATCTTATTTGGATCAACCAATCTAGATTTTGCTAAGTTTTTATGTTCAGCTAGTCTGACTGCCCCTGTTCTACTAGTTTGACCTATGTATTCGACCTGACAATCATTTCAGCAGGGTATTAGATAAACTAAATTGTTTTGTTTTAAAGGCTCTACAGGATCCTTTAGCCGACAAAGCTTGTTTCTAATTGAGTTTGTGGGTTTGAATGCCGTTTTTATTCCTGCCTTGTTGAGAATTCTGCGTAAGGCTTCCGAGGTTCCTTCCTTGTATGGAATTACTACTGATGATTTAGATTCTTTATTGTTGGTGTCGTCATTAATATTATTATTATTATTATCACTATTATCGTTATCATTATTATTGTTATTATCCCTATCGCTACTATCATTATTTACTTTATTTTTACATTTCCTTACATATTTCCTGACTAATTTATCCGGGTAATTATTAAGTTTCAAGGCTTCTGTTCTGTGTATCAGTTCCTGTTTTAGATTTTCTTTGGTACTACTTAATTTTTGTGCTCTGTCATTTAAACATTTCATCAATCCTACTTTTACTGACATAGGATGGGACGACCGGAAGTCTAAATATCTGTTTGAGTGTGTGGGTTTCCTGTAAACACTAGTGTTTAACATCCCATCTTCTTTCCTCTTTACGTTGCAATCTAACATTGGGAGCTCCCCTTCCTGATTTTCCAATTCATAAGTGAATTGAATTGCTTCAACCTTCGAGTTGATGTATTCGAAAAACCTATCTATATCTTGTGTTCTAAGTACAGTGAATGTGTCATCTACGTACCTCCACCATACTTTTGGGGTGGGGTTGAACGTTTCAATCGCTATGCTTTCCCACTTATTCATGAATATATCTGCTACCACTGGGGATATTGGTGATCCCATGGCAACTCCCTTAGTTTGTTTGTATATTTTCCCTTGGAATTTAAATACTGTGGAAGTCAGGCACAGCTGTACTCCCAGCATTATGTCCTCAAGTGGCACTTTTGTCCTAAGTTCGAGGTCTTGGTCAGAAATGAGTTCGTTTCTGACTGCCTCCATAGCCATATTTATTGGTATACGTGTGTATAAACTGACAATGTCAAAACTAACCATTTTTCCTTCATTATCTAATCTTAAATTATCTAATCTATGTTTTAGTTCATAAGAATTAGTTAGTCTAGATTACGGGTGGATTTTTAGGGGATTTAATACCATGGCTAAATATTTAGATAATTCATAAGTAGGTGAATTTCTAAAATCAACTATAGGCATAATAGGGTATCCTGACTTATGAACTTTAACAACACCATACATCCTACTGGGATTATTAGTTTTGGGCATTAAATTAAACCACTTAGACTCACCTAGAAACGGCTTCATTCAGGGTATGAGGTCCGCTGTGGATTTCTTAACTTTATTCATAATTGTATCTATTGGTTTAATAATTTCCTCATATGGTCCTGTTTGTATGTGAGTATTTACCTTGTCCAAATAGTCTGATTTGTCTAACACTACTGTTGCATTTCCATTGTCTGATTTTGTAATTACTACATATTTATATATATATATATAACTATATATAGAAACACCTTCAAAATGAGAAGGATATATTTATCACAAAATCAGACAATGGAAATGCAACAGTAGTATTAGACAAATCAAACTATTTGGACAAGGTAAATACTCACATAGAAACAGGACCATATGAGGAAATTATTAAACCAATAGATACAATTATGAATAAAGTTAAGAAATCCACAGCGGACCTCATACCCTGAATGAAGCCGTTTCTAGGTGAGTCTAAGTGGTTTAATTTAATGCCAAAAACTAATAATCCCAGTAGGATG